CACCCATGGAAAAACCCTTTCTACGTATTCCTCCGAATATTTATATAAAGATCCTAATGCAATACATGTACGTACTGAACAATTAATATGCTATATTACATCGAACACAAAATAACTGAATTCTACAAGTATATGAATAATATACAATTCATTAATTCATCAATCTATCCACTTAGACTTAAATTATCCTTACATTTGGATCCGTTTCGGTATCCTGAGCCTGTTTTTGATTATGATTTTGATTTTCGTGTTCATTTTGTAGTTCTTCCTCATCATCATCATCACTATCAGGTTTCTTTGTAGCAATTTTCTGGAGTCTGTTCGCCGTTTTACAACTTCCACTGCTCTTCCAAATGTTCTACGAGCATCAAAGTTCTCGACAAAGTCACTCAGTAAGTCAATGTCCATTGCCATTTTACCCGTAGGCCATTTATGTTTTAGCACTTGCTCTGTGGTCAGCCTTTTTTTGGATCGTAATTTAGTAGGTGGATAATAAAATCTCTGTATAAGTAACAGGATCATTCTTTATTTAATATTTATGATGTTGATTAAGTTTTAAATAGCGCAAAAGAGAAGAAAATGTTGGATAATAATACACTGAGGAAATGTTTCTCAAATAGCGATTGTGAAACTCTACGCGTAAGCCATTCTTTCCTCGGTTGTGGCAAATCGATCCTCATTACGAGCCGGTACATAACCATATAATTTATATTCATTTAGAAAATTAAATCGAGAATTTAATTCCATTCGCATAAAGCTCATCTGATCAACATTCAATAACATGCTTGCAGCGCATATGTAATAATCCTATATAAATGAGGTCAATGCAATTTATTAATTGATTTAAGAAAATTATGAGAGTTGCTAAAAAAAAAGGCTCATTTCAAATGCCCGATGCTCCAAAGATCCACAAATTTACTATATCCAATTCGATTTAAAATTTCTGGTGCTATTACAAGAATCATATGTATTAAATTACTACAGCGAGACTCCTCTAAATGCATACCATCGGGACCGCAGAAATTTATGCATTAAAAGGAGTTATGCATTTAGAGGATAGTCACATGATATGTAGCAAAGACAATTGATTGGATATCTTTTGCCGATTTTCCTTTGATATTGATAATTTATTTCACTAATCCATTATTTTATCTTTTATTTAGTTCGTATGGAATCAACGATCTTATTTTGCATCTTTCATTTTAATTTCCTTTGATATTAATAATTGTCGCGGCTGAAGCTGAAACAGGCTGAAACACACGTAATCATCAAATTACCACGTAATTGTTAAGGGTATATTATTCAATCACGTAGCCATTTGTCACACTATAATAGCCAATATCAATTATTCGGATTTTTTGTAGCATATACTGTACTTATACGTAATGTATGAGCAGGCCCCCTGTAGTAATTACGTGATGAATTTGATAGTCACAAGCGTTTCAGCTTCAGCCTGTTTCAGCATCAGCTCCCACAATAATTTATTTAACTAATCTATTACTCTGTCTTTTATTTAGTTGGTAAAATAGCAAAGACAATTGATTGGATATCTTTTGACGATAAATATTTACAATAAAATTCTTTTTGCAAGTGTTAATAAAAAAAATTTTTTTTTCTTTTCATGACAAAAACAACCTTAACGAATATACGAAGACATGAAATTTGCTTGAAAAAGCAGGATAATCCAAACATCACCCAAAAGGATCTTGTTGAATGGTGTAAGCAGATGTTAAGAGTGGAAGTCGATCAAGTAACAATATCTCGATTGCTAAAACGATCAAGTAAGTTCTTATATATAGATGAATTGCATAAGCCCCTCCAGAAATGTGCCCAAACTGTAAAATTTCCAGATCTTGAGGAAGCGCTACTGGAATGGTGTTTGCGAGCTCAAGAACGAATATTACTAACAGATAAATTGTTGGTAGAAAAGGCATGATCTTTTGCAAATCATTTTAATATGAATATGGATGCAATTACATTTTCAAATGGCTGGCTTCATCAGTTTAAAAAATGGCATAATTTAAAGCAGATTCGAATACATAGTGAGAGTGGTTCTGTGAGTGAACTAGTGATTGGAGAATCCATTGCTGGTCTTAAGCAGTTGACAAACAATTATATATGGAAGAACATATATAACATGGATGAAACTGGACTCTTTTTCCAGATAGAATCTGATATGACATTGGCAACTCAACAATTGGCAGGTAAAAAGAAAAATAAGAAGAGATTATCAGTGGCTCTTTGTTGTAATGGTGATGATTCACATAAGTTAAAGCCATTTGTCATTAGTAAAAATGCTAAACCTCGTTATTTTAAGAATGTGAAGCTTGAAAATCTTGGAGTAATATATCAATATAATAAAAAGACTTGGATGACAGCTATTTCGTTTCAGGAATGGTTACATTATTTTGATTAACAAATGCAAGGCCGACAAGTCCTCCTTCTTCTTGATAATGCACCAAGTCATATAGTTGCTGGTATGATGTTGAATAATACAACCATCAAATTTGTATCACCAAATACAACATCACGATTATAGCCTTGTGATGCAGAGATAATTGCATCTTTCAAGACACATTATCAGAGGAAGTTTGTGTGATATTTATTGGAACAATTTGAAAATGAGGTGACATCAGGTAAATTATCAATTCTAGAGGCTATCTTGTTTATCTGAGAATCGTGGCAAGAGGATGTACAGCTATGACAATTACCAATTATTTCTGACATGTCAAAATCCAAGATGAAGATATAGTATCAAAGATAGAAAGTAATGATATTGAAGATGAGCATGAAGTTACAAGAGAGATTTACAATTATTATGCTATCAGCATCCTATGAAAGTTAATGATTTTTTAAATCCAGAAAATGAAAATGTCATTGATGAACAGTTTACAGATAAAGAAATTGTTAAGCTTTTTTGCAAAGAGAGAGAAGTTGAAATAGAGGATGAAGATAGAGTTCAGAATCTCTGCCAGTATCAATTAAAGAGGCAATAGAATCTCTTAACAAATTAATATGATTTCTTTTAGGTCAGGAAGGTAATTATTCAAAAGAAGTTGACAATATAATGAAGGTTGGTCATGTGTTAGAAAGATTGAAGGTAAAATCACTAGTACAAAAAGGTTTGGATGGTTATTTTGTTATAGACAAGAAATAGGACTGTGAATGGGTTTAGGAAGTGGACAATTAAGTGATATTAAATAAAGTTTTTTATGGGCTGTATTAGACTTGTTATGCAAAAGAAATTGCAATCGCACAACTAATATAAAAAATCACGTGATTATGCATTTAGGGTACTATATAAAATTTATAAAAATCGATTGCATATGCATTTAAAGGGTGTATGCAATAACAGATAAGTCCGAACTCGGGACCAGACAAAAGTATGCATGTAGAGGAGTTATGCATTTAGAGGAGTCTCACTGTATTATATTGATGATGATTGAGATCGTAAGAAAAAGCATCAGTTTCGGTAAATTTTCCGCGATCACACATACGATCAAATAATTCACCACCTGTTTTATAAAGTCAATTATAAGTAGATTATATATAAATGCACGACCAATTAATGGAATATTCTTCCTCTTGATACTTTTCATCATGCTTTTGAATTATTTTGATGGCGACCTTTTCGTCTGTTTTACTTACCATGGCTTCCTTAACTGACCCATAAGTTCCTGCGTCTAATTTTTAGATTTGTTCAAGTTTAATGAATGATATTGACAAAATCTCATTTCGTAAAAGAATATTCAATGAATGTGAATAAAAAATACCTAGAGTTTCTCCTAGCTTATACTTTCTCTATTTAATTTACTTAATATTATTACATTCTTTATACTAAAATCTATATAAAATCGAAATAAAATGTTGCAGTTTTCGATGAAGTGCGTGATCGGATTTCTTGATGCACAATTCATTTCCGTTACACATTGATCTTGCGATTTGGTTGGTTTACAACCTAAAAATCACAGGATCCGTAATATTTTTTCACCACCCCTTCTTTTATCAAAACCGCACGAAAAGTAGTACTAATCTTCTTGAGTAGGACATCGGCTCTAGGATTATTTTAATCCTAACGGCTCGTTGATTAG